CTTGTTAAACTTTTTATGGGAAAAAATAACTTTATAATTGATTATTATCAATAATTACATTTTCTTATTTTTCTTCTATAAACTAGAAAATAGTATAATTCTTGATAGATATATATGTGAGAAATTACCACAAAGGTTGCACTTCAACATTTTGTAAATTTGAAGAACAATACTTTCTTTAGAACATCCATTATTTTTTGCAAAGAGTGGGAAGAAATATAGTCTTGCCTGATTCATACTAGGTTATTGATATCTAAAGTTTAGGTCTCTTGACACAGCACACAGCACAAAGTATGTGATCTCAGCACTTAAAGGCCTGACTTCAGTGATATTACTACTGTCCCTTGCATCTAGCTGATTTCAGTATTATCATACATGCTGCAATTGACTAACCTTCAATGTTCATAATGATGTAACTTTTCATGTATACTTATTCCCAAATTGTTTAAGACAATTTCTTTGAATGCTTCTGGTGTTTATATTGAAGATCTTCTAATGTAGTTTGTTTCATATATACCATTATCAAGCTGTGGTGTGTACAGGAAGGTTAACCCAAGAACTAAGAAATTGTATGACTCTTAGAGTTCAAATTTAAAGTACCTATGTAACTGATTGGAATAGATCTATGAAAAGTCATCCTGAAGAGATATGAATCCTAGGCCAACAGGATCTTCTATTTGATAGACAAGATAGTGAGTAGTTGTCAAAGCATGGAAAAAAGACAGTCTCTGTCAGGTGCGGTGGCTCAAGCCTGTAATCCTAGCACTTTGGGTGGGGGATTGCCTGAAGATTTTGGGAGGGGGATTGCCTGAGGATTGCCTGAGCCCACGGGTTCGAGAACAGACTGGGCAACTTGGCCAGACCTCATCTCTACAATAAATCAAAAAATTAGCCGGGCGTGGTAGTGCATGCCTGTAGTTTCAGCTACTTAGAAGGCGGAGGCTGAAGGATTGCCAGAGCCCAACAGGTCGATGCTGGGGTGGCCGTGAGTATGCCACTGTACTCCAGCCTGGGCAATGGAGTGAGACTACAACTCAAGAAAAAAAAAAAGTCAGTCTCCAGGACAAATGCTGGTAGTGTTTATCTAAGTAGTCTGTGGTGAGACAGAGTCACAGCTAAATTCCTGTGAATATTGCAGTGCTACTGACAAGGACCTTCTCAAAGTAAACGTGGTTTCAGGGGATTCACAGCCAATGAACTTCCAGTATTTCCAGCTTCCTTAGCATGTCATGAATATCTCTATTGTGAGATTAATACATGAGGCTATGATAACCTGATTCCTTTATCTGCTGAACTGTTATAAGACCCCTGGCTCAGATTCCATTCTAATTAGGGTCGTGAATGTCTACTTTAAATAGGGGAGAGTGAGCTAGCCACTATGGATGTGACCTGTTGCTGTGACATTCATTGCAAATTAATAGGATGGATTTTCTCGTTTGATATAGTTTTGGCAGAATGATTTGTTAACATGTTAATTTTATTTTATCCTTTCTATATTTCCCCACATTTCATAAGGCAGTGGGCTTTCTAACTCCTTGCCATGAGGATTTGGGTAGAATAAAAAGTAGCTTCAATTTAGTGGTTTTTCCCACTTCTGGAAAAGCTAAGCTGATTGACCAGGTGATGCTGGGTATCATGGAGTGTTGAGAGAGAGGGTCTTAAAAGTGGTAAGGGGCTTCTCTAAGAGTTTTCCTGAGGCTGGAGAGGGTGAGATGTCAGAACATAGAAGGGTGGCAAGACCTCAGAGAGATATGATTGCATGGAGTGCTCAGGGAAGATGGATCCTAGGTACTTAAGTTTCCTGAGTCTGACAAAAGGTAGAGTCACCATTCCTGGAAGTACCCTTCAGACTACAACAGTGCTTCTGGGCAACAGAGTGAGATTCCAACAGAAAGAAAGAAAGAAAGAAAGAAAGAAAGAAAGAAAGAAAGAAAGAAAGAAAGAAAGAAAGAAAGGAAGGAAGGAAGGAAGGAAGGAAGGAAGGAAGGAAGGAAGGAAGGAAGGAAGGAAGGAAGGAAGGAAGGAAGGAAGGAAGGAAGGAAGGAAAGAAAGAGAAAGAAAGAAAGAAAGAAAGAAAGAAAGAAAGAAAGAAAGAAAGAAAGAAAGAAAGAAAGAAAGAAAAGAAAGATACTTGGTTTTTTGTTGTTGTTTTTTGCTCATCTGATATTGTGGCTGATTTTCACACACAATATATCAGTCTTGTGAGTTCAGTTAATATAAATTCTGCTAGCAAATCAGGTTTTTGAAACTGAAAAGTTAAGGCCTAATTAATGAGGTCTATAAGTGAGATTCTATAAGGAGTCTTGGAAATTTCTTTCTTTTTTTTTTTTGAGTTGGAGTCTCACTCTGTTGCCCAGGCTGGAGGTGCAGTGGCACACTCATAGCCACCCTAGCATCGAACTACTGGGCTCTGGCAATCCTTCCACCTCAGCCTTCCAAGTAGCCGAAACTACAGGCGCGCACTACCACGCCCAGCTAATTTTTGATTTATTGTAGAGATGATGTCTCACCAAGTTGCCCGGCCTGGTCTCGAACTCGTGGGCTCAAGGCAATCCATTCTCCTCGGCCTCTCAAAGTGCTGGGATTACAGGCTGAGCCACCGAGCCAGGTCTGGAAATTTCTTCCTTCTTTCCTTTCTCCCTCCCTCCCTTACTTCCTTTCTTGTCAGAGTCTCATTCTGTCACTCAGGCTGGAGTGCAGTGGCACAGTCATGGCCACCACAGCCTCAACCTGCTGGGCTCAGGCAATCCTTCCACCTCAGCCTTCCAAGTAGCTGGAACTACAGGCACACATCACCATAGATGGCTATTTTTTATTTTTGTTTTTATTGTAGAGATGAGGGCTTGTCAAGTTGCCCAGGCTGGTCTTGAACCTGGCTGGTCTCAAACCCCTGAGCTCAGGCAACCCTCTTGCCTCTGCCTCCCAAAGTGCTGGGATTACAGGTGTGATACAGGTGTGAGCCACTGTACCCAGCCACTATTTGCCTTCTTGAAACAGTGAGACCTGCATAAACAACCTCCCTCCAACATAACCCTCTTTGCCTTCATCATATTTTGCAAGAAACACTATTCTTTGATGAATTTCTATAATGTTACCAACAATATTGCAGATGCTTAAATTATAATTTTATACAATATATAAAGATATATTATTATATAAAGGTAAACTTCACTACCCTAACTAATGAGGTTTTATTATAGCACTTATCTAAAATTTTTCACAACCTATATTTTTAAACTTTAAAAAAAAATAATTATAGATTCACAGAAAATTGCAAACACAGTACAGGGAGGTCCCCTGTAACCTTTATTCAGTTTTCCCCGGTGGTAACACCTCTTTTTTTTTATTTGGAGTCTCACTCTGTCACCCGTGCAGTCGCATGCTCACGACCACTTCAGCGTCCACCTTCTGGGCTCTGGCAATCTTTCCGCCTCAGACTTTCGAGTAGCCAGAACTACAGGTGCATGTTACCGTGCCTGGCTAATTTTTTGATTTATTGTAGAGACAAGGTCCCACCAAGTTTGCCCAGGTTGTTTTCAAACCCAGGGGCTCAGGCAATCCTCTCATCTAGGTCTTCCAAAGTGCTGGGATTGTAGGCATGAGCCACCACACCTGGCCTGATAACATTTTCTATAACTGTAGTACAATATCGAATCTAGGAACTGATATTGGTGCAATTCATTGAATTTTTTCAGTTTTCAACAGTTTTACATGTACTTGTGTATGTGTGTGTGCATGTAATTCCATCCAATTTCGCTATATATAGTAGATTCATGTGACAATAAATATATAACTTTTTTTTTTTTTTTAAGTATAAAATTGACTCTTTTATTGGCTCCAGAATTCGCATTCATCATTTGCAGTCACAAGCTGTACAGTTTCCTCTCTACTAAAATTTAGCTGGGGTGTTCAAAAGAACTCAGATCAGCTTCTCTGGGTATCCTTTCTCAAGGCATCCACGGAGAGAAAAACCAAATAGTCACACACTCTTACAGAAGTAGTTATTCATTTCCTGAGCTAACCCACTTCCTTCTACATACATTTCCTTGTCTTTATCAATACGTTTTTTGAAATTAGCATCAAAGTCATCTTATAAAACGGACATAGGGCTGAGAACCTAGGCAATTCCAATGGCCATGTCATTTTTAATATCACCACTGTAGTGATACAATTAGAACCTCAAATGAAGTATCATGTCAGTAGTCCAGAGCTCCCTGCAACGTTAATTGATATTTCAGCAAAATAATCTGAATCATTATGAGCTAAATCCATACTTTGAGAAAACTAACGTTATCAAAGTAAAAAACTAAATACAAAAAAAAAAAAATCATGGCTCTTGACTACTCCATATGGAAAACTATGACATATTCTATGAGAAAAAAATCAATTTTCAACCTTTCAAAGATTAAGTGAACTATAATGAGTTGCTGAGTTTCTTTACTCTAACCACAACCTTGGAGATAAAAACTGAAAGTCTCATAATTATTGAAATTATATATTTGACATGTATCTTCTCAAAGATTATTGTCTTGACTTTAATCAAAGCAGATATGAGAAGTTGAAATGAAATGTGGCTGTCATGATTCTTCTGTGCTAATAAATAGAAGTATAATTAAAATAAAATCAGTTATAACCTAAATATAAAAAGTTTTATAGCTGGGCTCGGTGGCTCAGCCTGTAATCCCGCGCCTTTGGGAGGCTGAGATGAGTGAATTGCCTGAGCCCGCGGGTTCGAGACCCGCCTGGGCAGCGAGACCTCATCTCTACAATAAATCAAAAAATCAGCCGGGCGTGGTAGCACATGCCTGTAATTCTGGCTACTCGGAAGGCTGAGGCGGAAGGATCGCCGGAGCCCAGCAGGTCGAGGCTGCGGTGGCCGGGAGCGGCCACTGCACTCCAGTCTGGGCGACAGAGTGAGACTCCAACTCAAAA